ACAGGATCCTCTAAAAAAGTCTGTCTTTTTTACACAGCTTATGCAAACACTACTTATTAAAACAAATTAGACACAGCTTTTATGTAGGGTACAAGCTGGGTAGTATTGGTGCAGTCTGTTCTTTCCACCACTCTTTTCAACTCTGCCTTTCAGCTCCTCTCTAGGTTTGCAACTGCACTTCCAGAGACTTCGCACATTTAAAGTCCCACACAAAAATCTTGTTTCATATACAGTATTTTCATCTTAGTTTTGTATCACAGCAAGAAAAGGCAGCTGCTTTCATTATTTCTGCACATGTCAAGCATCAATTTTTAGGTTTTGCTTTGATTTATAGTAAGAGTTTAATAATATACCCACGATACAAATTAACGTGTGAAAATATTGAAAATTCATATGCAAAATGTTAAAATAGCTGTACCATTGCCAGTCTCCTAGAACAAGTTTCAATGCATTTTCAAGTCTGAAGTGCTGACATTTCTGTAAATCAGTGCAGTTTCTCACACACTAAGACAAGGCTAGAGAGGACGAACAGTTGGATACCTGATCATTAATAGAGAATAAGAAATTATCTAATCAAACAGATATCTCTTGTGAATGCAATGATCACATATTAATAATAATTTTTAAAAATTTGAAAAAAAAAAAAACCAAATCCCACACCACAGACTACCCCAAATGTATCAAACAAATTTTAAGCAAAAAATAAACTTTGTAAAAAAAAATGCAGAGTAAACAAAAAAGCCAACAGATTCCACATTAGCATTCCTGGAAGACTTAATACACAGTTCATGTGGCAAAACTTAGGCACTCTGCTCTATCCTACTCAGATCTGCAGCACAGTGATAGAGTAACCAGTCACTGTGCTATTTTTGGATTATTTTGCGAGCTGCTTTGGGCAGTTAATAAGAATCTTACTTGGTAAGGCTCATTAGGAACACATGGATTCAAGACATTACTCCAACTGCCAAAACAACTGCAACTAGGAATAACTCCCTATCAAAACCCAAGCAAGCAGCTAGCAGCACAGGAGCTGAGGACGGGGCGCTGAACATCAGCGTACTTCACTACGCCGTTGCGTTTCACGCTCATCCACGGGAACGATGGACCTTCCCTGAAGTTCTGCCAAGGACTGCAGCAGCCTCGCAGCTCCGCAGATCCAGTTACACCACCGGTTCCTCCCTCCAGAGCAGCTACATTCACAGCTATTTGGACTCAACTACATCAGTATTTATACACTAACACCATGATCGAGTTTACCTCGGGTCAGGGGTATGCAAAGGCAGCTTTGCAAGCACTACCATGACTAGCGCTAGCAGTTCTTGCAAGATGGGCAATGGCATACAGGGTTAGAAACACATTTTTAATATTAAGTCTAAATTGATCTTTCCTACATTGCACTACTGTAAAAGAAGTACTTTTCCCAGAGAGCCTGTTACTGACAGGCTACAGACCCGGAAAAGCTTCCTGTTGTAGCTGGACCAGCCCCTTTCTCTCCTCCTCCTGCAGGCCAGGGCTGCAGCAGAGACAGCTCGTCCTACCTTCTCCTTCCACTTGTGCCAAACTAGTACTTCTGGGAAGATTATCTTTACAAAAGGTGTTGATAAGAAAGAGAAAGCTGCTATCAAATAATTTCCTTGACCTTGCATTTTCCAGATACACCCCAAGCTACGAACACTTTTCTGGGGTAACAATGCTCCTTGCTCTGTGTTTGTGGAGCGTCTACAAATAATGAGGACCCAAGCCCTTGTCTGGGACTCCTAAACTTCTATTTATTATGCAACTAAATGACTTCTGTGTTAGCTAACCCTTCCTAATTATTTCTGTAACAAATCCATTTGGACATATGTCTAAATACATCTGAATATATGCAGAGTGACCTTGGCTTCCTTAAGGCTAACACAGCCCATGGATCAGGCTGAAAGCTCATGCCTATGAAGCTGAAATACATCACCCATATCCAAACCATTTTCATTCCATAATTAAAAAGATGCGCAATGCTGTATTAGGATCACACTAGGAAGACATCGTGGTTTCATCTGGTAAACCCAACCTCTGACAGTTTATGTTGTCGTGTCCTTTATTACACCGAATGCCAACAGCCGACTGCTCCTTGCGATCCTGCTCTAGAAGTACGGGGGAATACCAACAGGACATCAGGTACCGTAACGCTAAGTTAAGGCTGAAAAGGAGTTTGTGTTTCAAATTTGACATCAAACCCCTTAAAATTCCACATATAAAGAATGTCAGCTTCAAAACTATTGAAAATCGTTATTCCAAGGAGAAGGTAAAGTGAAGGACTTTGTCACTGACACAGCACTCAGGAGCAACCTGGGACAAGTGCACTACTGCATCCCAGGTGCAGACCCTTCACACCAGCTTTAGTTTACCTCCAGGTATGCTTTTTAACACTGACCCCCGCCCCCCCCAGCCAGTCAACCACTTGTGCACCTACTTAAGGAATCTTCCTGGCATTACCATTTCAGTTCCCAGAGGCTGCAAAAAGGAAGAGGAAAACCACACACGAACGCGGTTATTTTCACAAAACCTTTCAGTGGGAACTCAGAACACTGCCCTTACTTGGCACCT